TATATTTGAGTTTTGGACAAAATAAACTATTATATTAACTATTATATATATATATATATGTATATAGTATTTATTAATTAATCAATCAGAAGAATTGGTCATATCATTTTGTCCCACTCAAATACAGCACTGTTCATACAGCACACATACACACACACACACACACACACACACATGTTGAGGTTACTCTTGTGGCCTGTAACAACTTTCATAATAATGTGTTACATCCAGAGGAGACGAACCGCGCTCACCTGCTGTAGGTGGTGTGTCCATGTATAGCTCTGTAAGTATAAACAGTCTCCCAGTCTGTGCACATGTTGCTATATTTCACATATGGAATATCAGTATTTTCTTAGAGTGTGTGTGTGTGTGTGTGAGAGTGAGTGAGTGAGTGAACAGGCTGTGGTGTTTACTTAAGGACTGTTAACAGTGTGGACGTGTTTATTGGTGAACTAGTTGGGATAAGAGACTACAGGTCCTTTTCTAACACCACTTGGCTGCTCCTGAGAGCATAATGATTCTTTTCCTGCTCTGTTAAACTTAATCCCTGCGCCTGGAGCAACACTTCCTACTTGTTGACTTTTTTTTCCAAGAGCTTCAGGCTTCGACATGAAAACCCAAAGGCCCACTTTTACTTCTGTGTCTTTCTCCCACTTATTTTCCCTCAAATCAGGAGATTTATAAAAGCAGCATCAGTGGATGTAAATGTAATTCTGATTATTTTCCCTTCTACTTAGGGTAATGCAGGCTCTGTTTTCCAGGTCTCTGCACATGTGGAAAGTTTTTTTGGGATTTACCCAGTTTTTTAAACACTCAGACATAGAAGTTGTAATTTCATGACAATGAAGAAACTGAGTCTTTATTACTTTTAAAATGAAAACAGTCATATTTTAGAGCCTGATCACAAACAGAGTTGGACACAGTTACTGCAGTGCAACACCTTCATACTAATCTGAATAGAAAAACAACCTTAACAAGGGACTCTTCTGCTTAAAGCTGTTCCAGTTGTTTGGCTAAAGCCCCGGCATCCTCTGTTTGTTTTCACAAGCAATCCAATATCCAAGCTGAGACTGTATGAAATTAGAGCCCTGTTTCCTGTGAAAAATATAAACCACAGGACATACATGGGGGTTTGGTGCAGAGAAAATGAATTCCTCACAACCGTGGCAACAGGTTTGACCATAAAAATCAAATTGGCCCAATTGGCCTTGCATGCTCCACCTGCAATTATATAAGATTGTAAGCAGATGCCTAAACGTCTTCATTTCTTATTCTGGGGAACATATGGTGCAGTGTTCGACATGAACTTTTTATGTCTAGTGGAAGGTATGTTATACTCTAGAGTCCTGTGTTGGAGTCACCATGATGGGAAAGTCATGCAGGGTCCAGAGGTTTTCATTTCAGCTTCATCAAGACTGCACCAACCTGCCGGGAGCAGTTTCATCCGTTCACAGCCACAGACCACATTCAGTATGATGAGAGGAGGAAGGAGGAAAGCAGTTTAAGCAAAAATACACCAACAGCTGCCTTTATACAGCCTGATACAAAACTTATATTATTCTAAATCACCTTCAAGACAGGCAGTAATTCGTTTTTTACTACAACTTGGACATTATTGTTACAGGTTTGGCCGTTGTTATCTCCACCATGCAGGTTCTGTTTTCACCTGTGTGTTGTTTGTTTGTTTGTCAGCAGGTTTACACAAAGCATACTGAATCGATTTGCACCAAACATGGTGGAGGGGGGGGGGGCATGGACCAGGGACGCATGGTTTTATGTTGTTAGAGGCTGTGACATCACTAAGAGGAGGAGACTTGCTTTAGTTTTAGCTTTAGCCAGAAACACAGAAACTGGACATGTGAAAGTGTGTGGTCGGTCTAATGGCTGATTTTGTGTTGTCCAGTCCCTCTTTCAGACCAGACAGGCCCGGTCCAGACAAGCTGTTAGCAAAGCAAGGTCATTCATTGGAGTCTCAGCTGCTCTGTGGTAACAGAGCCCTCTCTTATTGATCAGTTCCAATAGTGCTATTTGGAAATTATAATTTCTTCTCTTTCTCAGTAAATAGGATTAGCTCAATTAATCACATTTACAGATTAGTTGCTCCTTGCTTATTGATCATCCCTTTTGATGCTGCTGAATGATCAATGCAAACGCGCTTATGCACGGCAAATCCTGTTTCAAAAATGAGCATCGATGGCAAAAATAATCTTTTAATCTGAGATATTTTAATCTGGGAAGTGAGAGGGTTTTTGAGGGAGAATGGTAGGGGAGATAAATGGCTTTCAGAAAAATAATATCTTAATCGACCACATCGGATCCAACGTTTGGTTAGTCAGATTATGTATATGTTAGGAAATGTCTGAGTTCACTCTGTGCTGGATCGGTAGCTTTACATCCGTCTATAAATAGAATTGAACGACAGACACCTTGCTGCTTCTGTTTGATTCAGGCTTTGACAAGTGACATGGATGCTGGGAGAAAAGCAGAGCATCTTTTTCTTTTTGTTGTGGCCTTCACTTGCGTCGTTGCTGTGTGTAAGTGTGAGTGTGAGTGTGCAAGAAGGATGCTCACATGCCTTTAGCAGATGGCCATTGATCCTCCTCGTCCTCTCTCACACATGACTTGCTTGGTGGGTGTTTATCCTTCTGGCGTTCTGTGCCTGGGATGGTGACCCCTGTGGGTTAGTTGCCCCTTAAAGCAAAGAGTCCTGAGCAGGGATTTGAAGGCAGATTTGCTACTTGTCTGTCTTTTGTTCTGGTCTTTTTTGAATGAAGAGATGAAATGGAGAAAAACATCACACATTTCTTTTCTGTAGTTTTTTTTATCACCTTTCTCAAACAGCTTGCCTTTTCCGTTTTCCTGTTGCACAGCTACAAACTTTTCTACAACTCAGGGAAACATTTGGTAGATTCCCTTGGTGAATCACCTGAAAGTTAATCACCAGCTACTGTATTAATCAATTAATCATTTTAGTCATTTTTTTAAGTATGTCCTCTTCAATGTGAAACAAGTGTCCAGTTGAGTTGCCTTGATAAAATTTAGATAATATAACTAAATGTTCCAGTCGTCTGCTCATATGAAGATAATGAAATGAAAGTAATCAACTGTCCATAACTGGCTCCTGCAGTGGAAAACCCTTTAAATTAATCCATTCTTTATCCCAAGCACCACATTTTTGAAATGAAACAGACTATGGGCCAACTTATTTTCTGAGCAGTGAGGAATTATTACCCATAATTACTTCAGCCATGCCTCTGCAGTATGAATGTTTCATTCATGCCAGAGAAAATTAGTGTGTGAATGTGAAAAATGTGACTAAAGCCAATTGTGCACAGCTTTTGGCTGCACTGTGCTCCAGCTGTGCTGCATCTCTGTCATCATCATATAGTTTGATTTGAGTGGTTTAAAAGTTTTGTTTGTCTTCTAATCATTCAGATCGGGTAACAGGCACAAATATGAAAATCGTGTGTTGCTCCTGATTCTGTTACTTCATTTTAAAAACGTATTGAAAAGAATCTAGGTGTGACTTTAATCTTAAAGTAGGCTGCCATTAGTCTTCTCAGCTGGTTTGTTCCCGTTCCAGAGGGGCTAGTTAGAACGAAGATCTAGCATTCAGTCGTCCACCACTTCAGTGAGTCAGACAGTGATTCTCATTTATGTTTAACTCGGTAAATAAAGTTAAATAATAAGTCCGATCAGTTTTGGAATACATGTCTGCTCCAGAGGAGGACTGTGGGTTTATGTCACATCTCTGTCAGTGTAAGGGTGTTAGGGAGGGATGAAAGGCAAATGTAAAAGATTGTGAGCCTATGTCAGCCATCTCTTCATAATCAGTCTTACTAATCACCTGTATTTAACCTGTCTAAGGATAAATACATTCAGCACTGATTTAAACTGAGTACAAAGTTAATAGTGTTGCGCAGCAACATCCGTTGTGCTCAGAATCTAGATTGAGCTGTTAGTCTGTCCCTGTGTCTGTTACAAAGCTCTGTCTGGACGGAATCGGGGCTCCCTCACACTGGGACTGCATTTAAGATGAGTTATCACTGACCTGCTTTGCATCACAATAGCAGAAAGGCTCTGCTCTCTTGCTTTGGCAGCCTCACAGTCTTTGTTCACTAAGCAAGAGAGGGCAGTTGCATTTTGGTCAGAGGATCAGCTTTAATTACGTTTGGAGATGAGAAAATGTGCAAACATTTTTTCTTTGGTTTCCAGTAGTGACAGCCTGCAACTCTCAAATCAGCTTTTTTTAAATGTTGACTGACACACTGGGTTAATAATCAAAACCTGCAGGATAGTCATGGCACCACAACTGCCCTTTAAATGTATTAATGTTGGCCAAAGACACAAAGTTCAACTTTCAACTCATCAACTAATGAATTAATCAACTAAGCATTTCAGCTCTAGAGCCTTTTTCATGAGAAGGAAGTGATTGCATCACCTTCACCTTTCAGACACAGCTGCAGTGAGGACAGTGATGGATGTTCCATCAGTGTGTGATTGTGATGTATGTGTGACTGAATGGGTGAAAGTATTGTAAAGTACTTTGAGTCGTCAGTAAGACCAGAAAAGCGCTATATAAGTGCAAGTCCAATTACCATCACAGAGACAGACCTTTTACTGTGAAATACAGTACTTCAGTGAAGTGCATGAGAGTTAATAAGCTGGTTATATATAGACCTCAATGTTAAGTGGCCGTAGCTGTCTCAAAACCTGTGTTGTCCTGGTGTCTTATTGGTCTCAGACAGTGGTTCCTAACCAAGAGTTCTCGGACAAGTCACAAGCCAAAAAGGTTGGGAACCTGGTCTAAGGCACATACCCTGTGACCACAATATCCTCGGTTCAAATTTAGTCACAAGTCGTCCTCTTGTTTCTCTGCAATGTAGCAGTGACGGCTCACTTTACTTTTCAAATGCTTGTTACACAAATTTTATATTTCTTTCCTTATGAAAGTAGTAATCATGATCATTGTAATAATCATTTCTCTTGTCTCCTTTCAGACTGTCTCTGCACTTACCAAAGGATGTGGGTTTAATAGCAGTAGCTGGTCGACAAAGCCAGGGACGAGGTCAGTGCTCTAGCACACTGTTTACCTGCATACACAACATTCCCACTTTCCCATGTCCAAGTGGTCTCAGACTTCTGGACCCCACTATACCTCAAATTCATTACACACCAAAGTTTTCTCTTAATGTATGCTAAGTATGCTATTGGTGTTTGGTACCACCTACCATTCCCTTGTATGTTTCCTGTGTTTGCTTCTGCTTCAGGTCGGGGCAGGAACGCCTGGCTCAGCCCTCTTGGTTGTGCCATGTTCACTCTGGGGGTCCAGGTTGAGCTGAGCTCCAGACTCGGACAGAGGATTCCCTTCCTCCAGCATCTGGCTGCTCTTGCGGTAGTGGAGGCTGTTCGCACTCTGCCTGGATACCAGGTATCAGCCCACACACTTCCCTATACCAGCTCTCTCGACACTATGGATTTGTATTAGCGTCATACACTGTATACACCCTGAACATTAAAATAGTTGTCTGTCCTATCAAAATATATTGTATCACAAAGTGATAGTATGAATGAAGATGTATTATTTTAATCACTGCTGATGATTGAACATATTTGAACCTTCATCAGGACATAGACCTGACAGTGAAATGGCCCAATGACATCTACTACAGTAATCTGATGAAGCTCGGGGGAGTACTGGTGACTTCCACTGTAATAGGAACAACCTTTCATCTGCTCATAGGTAACAACCTCCCCTTTATTACAGCTAATAAACTGGTAGGTCTCTTTCACTAATACGCCATGCACCCTTCCTTCACATGGTTGAACTAACACACCACTTCTGGGTTGATTATTATCTTTGATAATGGTGGCTCTTCTGGAAATATCAACTGTCATGTTGAACTGTTCAGAAATTGGGGAACCATAAATCCTAAACTGTTGCCCCAGGATGAAGTTGTTGATGGAAGTTTTTATTGGACTTTATTATTTGTAACCCATAGAGGACAATCCACTAATGTACCATGCTCCACAAATATCTCACTATCCCCAAACATGTATGTTTTATTTGTGGTATGTTAAGTCATATCCACAAATATACAGAGCGATTTACAAATACACACAACTCACTAAGAAAGAAATCCACAAAGGTGAGTAGCAGTTACTACCTGCACAAGCAGGTGGCGACATTCCCTCACGTGGGCTGACTGAACAACAGAGCAAACTGTAGGTACCGCTGGTAAGCAAGCACAGCAGAGCACACTCACCTGGAGGTGACAAGGATGAGAGGATGTGGATTCTGCGCAGACTTCTTTTAGAAAACTTTTCGATTTAGCCATTTAGCCTTCCTTCAGTACAGACTGCTCATGTGAGGGAATGTCACCACCTGCTGGCTTTATTAGTGAGGATTTTGGTGCGATATAGTAAAGCGGGTAAATACTTAGGTAATAATGTAATGCTCTATCACCTTACACCTACTCTATTTATGATAAGGGGTGTCACAAATAGTAAACAATAGTAATAGTACAGTCTTCTGCAATATTTTATCCAACATACACCAGTCTCATGTTGTTTGAGAATAACATTGTATTATTTCTTGAACATGATGTGCTGAACAGGTTGTGGGTTCAATGTGACAAACAGCAACCCAACAGTTTGCATCAATGACCTGATCCAGCAGCACAACAAACAGCATACCTGCAGTCTGCAGCCGCTCAGCTGTGCCCAGCTCATTGCTCGCACCGTCAGTTGTCTGGAGCTCCTCATCGACAGCTTCCAACAAGGAGGCCCAGACGCCATCCTCCCCACCTACTATAAGAGATGGCTTCACAGGTGAGTAGCCTACTGCAAACATCCCCCTGGGCTTTGGATTCAGGGTTTACCTCTCATTTACAATCAGAATCAGAACCTTGATTCAGCAGCTATATGCATACTAGGAATTTGTTCTGGTGCAGTTGTTCAAGTGTTTCTGCACCAGTTTTGATAATTCAATTCAGGATATCTGTGGATTGCAAGTACCCATGTAATACCAACGCTGTTGTCCCAAATTTAAAGTCTGTTTACCTCACTGTGTGGATGTCAGAGGAATAATACGTTTTAGTTAGGTAACCTGGTGTATTATGTACAACAGCAATAGTTGTATCATGAGAGATAGCTGGAGTAGCTTGATGTTTTTTAGGCAAGCCACCCACCACCCCCTACCCCCACCAAGGAGGATTCCAACTGTATTTCTGGTGTCATTATAATCCTGATTATATCCCCACTGGGACCACTCCCAGTGGGGATACGAATCCAAACGTGCCCTAAACTTTTGCACAGTACTGTTAGAGATTAGTGCAGTGCAGTTGGTGGTTCCAAAGGACAGGGAGTGGAGTCTGGGTTATACGAGCGGAGTCTTTTTCTGTAAGGGTTGAAGCTATGAAGGTGGTGTGTAGTCTTGGTCTTTAAAGCTCTCAGTTGCAGAGTCTTGTAAAGTTTCCTGACGCCCATAATAGCATCCTGAAGCAGAACTGTGACAGCTGCTCTCTGTGCTCTGACCTCAGTGGGACTCAGGTGCATCTCTGGAGTGAGGATGGACCGGAGGCTGAGGTGGTGGGTCTGGACCACAATGGCTTCCTCCAAGTGCACAGCAAGGAGCACGGCGTGGTGTCACTGGAGCCTGATGGAAACTCTTTTGACATGCTGAAGAACCTGGTGGTCATCAAGCAGCGCTAGGACCAAACTCAACAAACTACTGAATCATCTCAACGCATTGAGTTATTTAGTCTGTTAGAAAATTTTATAGCTAAATGAATGTATCCAGGTTTTCAAACTGATTAATACATCACTAAATGTGTTACTGGTTTAGAGAGGAATTTTCATTAGCTTCTCCTTATGCTAACCTGACATACATTTGAACTGGCTGGAGTTATTTGTTGGACATCCCCTGATGATAAGTGGTTTTAAAGGCAGCTTCATAAAGTGATGGGTCAAAAGCACATACTGTACATCAGTTTGACTGTGACCTGCTGGTTAGGGACCAACTTGTTCTGCTTTCTGGAAGCAATAAATGTTCTACCTATCATCTGAACATCCACCCTGATTTCACTGTTGACAGCAGTGATCATTGCAGCTTTTGCTGTTGACGATTTTCAGCAAAATAAAGATTCCCACAGACATATTTCCTCTTTTCTTTGAACTAGCAAGTTTTGTTCACTTACCTGGTCACAACAAGATCCTGATTATCAACGGGAAAATGGCATGAAGTCAAAAAGACAGTTTCTTAGTGTCCTGAAATGTCTGTGGATGAAGACCTGCGTCCAGTTACTTTTGAAACCCCACATTTTGGGCTTTATCTCCCACAGACTTCTTTATATATTGATATGCACCTTATCACATTAAAGCTCAATGCAGCATCCATTACTTTATTTCAAATTAAATGAAGCACAGAGCATGAAGACCAAAAAATGTGTAACTGTCCAAATACTTACAGTTTACTATACTACATCAATATCAATCAGTAACTGAACTGCTGCTGTTATATGAGGCAAGTCTCGATCTTATCCAGCAGGACCCACACATTCTCTCTTACAGAAAATACTACAGGACACCCTGTAAAATATTATAGGAGACAAGCTCATAAGGTGTCTGAATGCACAGCTATTTAGCTGTGAAACATATCTAAATGTGTAAGTTGTACAGTGACAGAAAAAACAGACAAGAATAGCATTAAAATAAATACGCCCACTCTCCACTGCTCCATTGCATTTCTATTATTACCGAGCCTGGTGAGAACAGTCTGTGGCACCCGTCCTTTCAGCCTCTCAGGACTGGAGCTGCTGCCTGAGCGGCCAAACACGAAGGGCAGAGTCAGTGTAGATAGAAGTTTTCAAACGATTTAAATATATACTGGGTCTGCACTGGTAAGTACTGCTTCAGGAAGTAGCCACAGCCAGGTGCATAATCACCACAGGGGTTGGGCTTACATCCATCAAGTATGTGAAATATGGACAGTGACAATGACTGAGCTCCTGTATCATGTTGGAGTTAATCTCCACCAGCAACAGGAAACACAACATCACTAAACTGTGTTGCTATAACCTGACCAGGTGATCACATGTTGTTGGTCAAAATGCACACATGCTCATGGTGGAAACTGTGTGTGTGCACCAGAGCCACATAACTTTTTGTCCTGTGTTTTACTGAACATCAGACATGCAGCTGCTGATTAAAGACTGAAAATACAAATACAGAGAAATACTTGGAAAACACACTCATATACAAACCTTTTGCCAGATACAGAGAGAAGGCTGACTAAAATCGCAGATTAGTGAGTGAGGTGGACACGTCTCTACTAAAACTCCTGGACTGTAAAGTGGAACGTTTGTAATGACGGTTGCTAAAAATGGAGAGGAACTGAAACAGAGAAAAAAGAGAAAGGTAAGTTCAAGATAATCTTGACCTGGATATCAGACAACATTCTGCTAAAACTGAAACAATGGAAAGGAAATCTGGGAGAGCAAAATGCCCAGATACTCTATTCACTCCAGAGGTTCCTGTATGATCCTGTGCTGGATTTGATCAACATGCACTGTGAGGGGCCCAGAAGTAATACAAGTTGAGCTCTGATCTCAAGAGGACAAAGTGGCTGTGCTCTGCAGTAAGCAGAGGCTGAGGGACAACAAAACACTCTTACCACGCTTCCAAACTGAATATGATTCCTGGTATTCTCACTTTGTATTTATTGAGAACTGGATTATAGGGTTTAGAAGAAATGTAAAAAGTTTTTAAAATCTTATAAACCCTACTCGAATCAGGATTTGGATGTTACGGGATAATAAGAGTAGCCTGTACTTCCTGCCCCATCCCTGCCAGACTGCGGATTCTCTTCTGTTTGGACTTAAGTTTTGTATCATTTATCATTAAAGTAATTGAACCCCGACCTTGGTATTCCCAGAGAAGGTGACTTACTGGTTGCACCACTAGCTAACCATGTGTTACACATGCCTTCTTCAGACAAGTTGAGGCAATGAAATCACATGCAAAACTGGGGTATTTATGTTTGTTTAACCTTAAAACACTTAAAACGGTCAAAATGTTGGTGTGAAAGTCCTGAAAAAAATCACACATCATTCTACTGGTTTCAGTAGTACCATCAAATATTTTGGTGACTTTGAATCCAACACTGAGCAAAAAAGAAAATGTTGCCCATACAGTATACAAATTACATCAAGATTATGAATAATGCTGCAAACCCAACGTTTGTTCGATCTTGAAACACTTGAAATCTACCATCTAGAGAATGTCTGTCAATTTTGGTAGCATTTGAATGGAGACTTGTGGAGATACAGATGTTAATTGATTTTCCATATTTAGAAAAATATAGTGATGCACTTGAATTGACCATAGGTTACAGTGAAGCAGACTTTCATCATCATTCAGTGGATGTGCTGAAAAAACCTCAGCTCAGTAGGACATACAGGTGATTTATTGTGATTTTTAGAAGTTTAAAAAGGTTCAATGTGTAGTAATTTATACTTTTAGTAAAAGGTCAATAAGCCAAACTTTAATCAGTCATTACCAAACTTTATGCATGGACTGAGTAATGACCAGAAATAGTGCAAACCAAGTTTCATACTTCCATGCAGCCAATTCTGAGATATATATTTTTTTCATTGGTAGCGCCCCCTAGAGGCAGAATATCCCAAGACTCTTTTGTGTGTGTGTGTTTCGTTACAATACCATTTGCCAATTTTGATTCATGAGCATTTGTGTAAAATTGATCTTAATGACACAGGTTTAAAATTGTATAATTTCAAAACGGATTGACAAAATGAAATTCTTTAAATAATTCTTTGTCAGCATTGTGTGTCGATGATGTAGACCAAATTTTGTGAGGAATGTAAGATGGAGGCCATCTTAGACAATACCAACCATCCTCTCCAAAACATTCTGGCAGGACAGAGAAGCAGCTATACAACACCTCAGCTAAAGTGGACTAATCTAATCATTATTGTTTATTTATTATTAACTCTTTTTTTTTTTTTAAATATTATTATTATTATCATTATTATTATCAACAATGAGCTAATGGATACATGAATTTCCCCTAGGGGATAAATAAAGTATCTATCTATCTATCTATCTATCTATCTAGTTGTATATAAACATAATTTCTAGGAGACAGAGTTGCAGCTAAGCAACAAGGGGGTAAATTGGTTTACAGATGTGGTAAAAATGTCTCTCTGTGCCAAAAACAGTCTGAAGGTGATTAAGCAAATGGCTCACTGTGGATCCATATGTGCCGTACTCCCAACATCCTATTAAACAATTTTAGTGGGCTGGCTGCTGGGGTCTTATTGACTCTCCTAACAGCACAGCTCCATGCCTCTTTGGGGGAAGAGCAGATTTCTTTGACTCACCTTCAGACAAGGCGCTCCACTCAGGAACAGACTGCAGACAAACACTGTTGATGTACTACTAAGATTAGTGGACTGCCATTTTAGGACTTTGTGATGAACTAGAAGGAAACAGTAAAAAGAAAAGATTAACACCATTACAACTCTGGGTATTACTATTATTTTCACGTATCAACAGCTGTTCCTGGTCTCTTTCTTCTCTCTCCTCCATTTCTTTCCTCTCAACCGAACCGGTCAAGCCAGACCTGGTTATGTTGGAGGTTTCTTCCTGTTAAAGAGAATTTTTCCTCCTCACTGTCACCAGGTGCTGCTCATGGTGGAACTGTCTGGTCTTGACCTGACTCTATTAACAGATTTCAGGTAATGTATGTTATGATAAAATTTAATCTAATTTAATTAAAAATGTTATAATAAAATAATTGCATCTTATACACCGCACAACATGTGTATTAGATTGCTCCCTAATGTTTGAGATTTAAATTATTGATTATATTTATTGTTACATGTTTATTGGTATTTACACAAACTTGTTATTTACATTGTTACCTGCAGTAGATTTGTGAAAAAGTTATGCAAACATTTTGAGGCAAACTGAAAGAGGCCATATATGTTTGGTCGGATTTGCTGGATTTGGCCCATGACCTACTGCTTTAGTGTAGCTATGTGTCTGTAAAGCAAAAACACCTAAATATTTTATGTTGCCTGAGTGAAGGGGAGGGGCGGGGGGCATCCTGAATCCCAAGCATCTTCAGAGATTTGTTCCAGTTTATTGTGTAGTGTGAGACTGTGGAGAAGTTGTTAATGATGCTGAATAATGGTCAAGAGAGTTTAGAATATGCCCACTGAACAGCACTACTGTCTTCATCCTCTCATGCTGAACTGAGGGCATACAGAAAACGACAGTGACTCACTAGTATTATTGAACGGAAAGCTGGTTAGCATGCTAACTTCAGTAGAAGAAAACAGGTGATAGAAACTGAAACATAAGAAAAACAAGTTAAATCAAATCGATTAAATTTAAATAGAGCTTTTCTGGTCTAATGACCACTCACTGCTTTGTAATGTGTGTCTCATTCACACACTGATGCTGCAGTTAAGGGGTTCAGTGTCTCACTCATGTGCACTTTAACATACTCGCTGGAGGAGCCGGGAATTAAACCAGGAACCTTACGATTACCTGATGGCCACTCCACCTCCTGAGCTATGCTGCCCAACATTGGCGTTGCTTTCCACCTCTGCAGACAGTTCTTGGCGAATTAAGAAATTAAGTTTGATGCTGAACTCACAATGTTTCTTCTAGACTGGTAAGTTAAGAGCTGTTAATGCTAACATCATCTACATACATAGTGATAGCAAAACTTACATGTAGCACCTTCAAAAAGTTGATTTTAAAAGTTTAGCCAAAAGCTGGCTAATGATGTGGTAATCTGATATAACAAGGGTTTCTTATTGTTGATTGTTTACATTCTCTTTATAAATTAGGATTATTTAACTCTCACCACTGTATGGTAAATATGAAGCTACTGTCAGCAGCTGTTTGTCTTAGCTAAGCACAGACAGGAAACAAGGAGGGGAAAAGCTAACTGCTCTGTCAAATGTCTAACTGAATAATGCAAGACAGCATGAAATGATTGTCAACGAACGTGCTTATGTTAAAGGTAAAACACAATTTATTACAAATTGACTTTTACCTTGATAGCGCTTGGTTCCATCAGTTACAACACATTAGTTACAACATTGAAGATCTGGGAATAAGGTGA